CTAGTCATGTCTGACTCTTTGCAGCCCCATGGACTGCAGCATGCCAGGCCTCCCTGTCTCGCCTCCTATCTTGGAGTTTGCCCAAGTTCAGGTTCATCGCATCAGTGATGCCGTCCAGCCATCTCATCCTCTGACGCCCTCTTCTCCTTCTGTCCTCAATCTTTCCCAGCATCAGGGAATTTTCCAATGAGTCATCTGTTCGCATCAGATGACCAAAATACTGGAGCTTCAGCTTTAGCATCAGTCCTTCCAGTGAGAGTGTTCAGGGTTGATCTCCCTTAAGATTGACTGGTTTGATCTCCTTGTTGCCCAAGGAACTTTCAGGAGTCTTCTCCAGCACCACAGGTTGAAGATGTCAGTTCTTTGGTGTTCTGCCTTCTTCATGGCCCAGCTCTCACAACTGTACGTGACCCCTGGGAAGACCATAGCCTTTACTATACGGACCTTTGTCGGCAGAGTAATATTTCTGTTTTTCTACACACTGTCTAAGTTTGTCATTGCTTTCCTGCCAAGAAGCAGTTGTCTTTTGATTTCATGGCTGCAGTCACCATCTGCAGTGATTTTGGAGCCCAAGAAGAGGAAATTTGTCACTACTTCCACTGTTTCCCCTTCTATTTGCCATGCACTAATGGGGCCAGATGCCACGATCTTGGGTTTTTAATATTTAGTCTTAAGCCAGCTCTTTCACTCTCCTTCTTCACCCACATTAAAAGGCACTTTAGTTCCTCTTCACTTTCTGCCATTAGAATGGTATAATCCGCGTATTTGAGGTGGTTATGTTTCTTCCACCTATCTTGATTCCAGCCTGTAACTCATCCAGCCCGGCATTTCTCATGATGTGCTCAGCATATTGATTAAACAAACAGGGTGACAGCACACAGCCCTGTCATACTGCTTTCTCAATCTTAAACCAGTCTGTTGTTCCATACAGGATTCTAACTTTTGCTTTCTTATCTGCATACAGGTTTCTCAGGAGACAGTAAGATGGTCTAGTATTCCCATCTCTCTAAAGAGTTTTCCACAGTTTGCCATGATCCACATAGTCAAAGGCTTGAGTGTAGCTGATGAAACAGAGATAGATGTTTTTCTGAAATTCCTTTGCTTTCTCTTTAATCCAGTGAATGTTGGCAATTTGATCTGTAGTTCCTCTTCCTTTTCTAAACCCAGCTTGGACATGTGGAAGTTCCTGGTTCGCATAATACTGAAGCCTGAAGCCTAGCATGCAAGATTTTAAGCATGACCTTACTAGCATGGGAGATGAGTGCATTTGTCCAATGGTTAGTGTGTTTTTTGGTGCTACTCTTTTTGGGAATTGGGATGAGGATAGACCTTTTCCAGTCCTGTGGCCACTGCTGGGTCTTCCAAATTTGCTGACATAATGAATGCAAAACCTTGATGGCATCATCCTTTAGGGATTTGAATAGTTCTGCTGGAATCTCATAACATCCACTAGCTTTATTAACAGCGGTGCTTCTTAAGGCCCACTTGACTTATGTAGAGATATGTATATACATATGGTATATATGTGTGTCTGTGTGTGTATATATATATATGTATGCATATATGTGTATGGCATATAGTGGCTCAGTGGTGAAGAATCTGCCTTCAATGCAGGAAATGCAGGTTCAGTCCCTCGGTCAGGAAGATTCCCTGGAGGAGGACATGGCTTCCCATTCCAGTAATCTTGTCTAGAGAATTCCATGGGCAGAGGATCCTGGTGGGCTATAGTCTGTGGGGTTACAAAGAGTCAGACATAACTTAAGCAATAGAGGACTCAGCATATATATGTGTGTATATATATATATGGTCCATGTAGGTATAAATTGGCTGTATCTTTTAAAAGAAACATTTGTAATTATTTCCTTTGCAAAGAGTGCTCTACATTGCTTTGTTTAAATATCTAAAAGCCTCCACAATGCTACATGAGCATCTGTGACAAATGACACTATGGTTGCTAAAGAGGAAAGTTTCTATATTTAAAATTCAGTTTAGCAAATCAACATTTTCTATTCCTTTTTCAAGTGTCTCATTCTGACAAATCACTATTTTAAAACAAAACACAAACCATGCATTTATTTGACTCTCATGAAGAATTAAACGTGAAAAAGATGAGCTGTGGCTATCGCTTTTCACTAAAACCACCTGCTGTGGTTTTAAAATGCAAACTAGATCAAAATCACTACAAACCCTGGGGGTTTAATTTATGTACTGAATGAAAACCAGCTTGTTTTGAAAGAGTACTTTTTTTTTTTTTTACCTTTAGAAGAAACTTGTACACCTGTCTCATTTGATCTTTCATTATCCCTGTGAGCTAGAGAGACCAAGAATTACCTCTCTTTTACTGATGAAAAAATAGAGACAGAGGCTTAATTGACTTGCTTAGGCTAGTTAGTGCCAGAAATGGTGTTAAAGTTCTAGGCCTTTGTGAAAGCCTATGTCCTAACCTTTAGCTCCCTGGAGGCTCAGCAGTAAAGAATCCACTTACAGTGAAGGAGATGCAGGAGACGCAGGTTTGATCCCTGGGTCCAGAAGATCCTCTGGAGGAGGAAGTGGCAATCCATTCCAGTTTTATTGCCTGGGAAATCCCATGGACAGAGGAGCCTGGTGGGCTACAGTCCATAGGGTCACCAAGAATTGGACACTACCGAGCAACTGAACACACACGCACCACACAAAGACACCATAATGTTATCTTAGGCCTCTGTCCTGGGCCAGATTCTAGAATGTAACAGTGGTATGCTCTCTCTTGATCCTATAGGCTTGTGAGAACCAACTGTGAAATATTCAGGATTTTGTAAGCTGCTGTTTAACCATTGCTAGCTTGGAATGGGCCATAGTGGGAATACAGGAAGTATCACAAATCAGGGTTCTGTTTTTCTCTAGAGAACTGGTTTACCTCTGTGCACCGATTGTATCTAAGTATATACCAAAGGAAAATCAACAACAATAATAAAAACAGAAACAGTAATATAGCATAAATGTAATGTTATGGGTATACTATTTACCTAGGTTAAAGATCAATATTTCTTTGTTCCTTAATTTAGAAATTTGCTTCTAAGCTGTGAATAAATATGGACAAGACTCTCAGAAAACGTTGAATTAAACTTGAGTGTTTTGAGGACCTTTATAAATCTTATCCATTCTTTAAGAACTAGGTCAAGTTCCAACCCTTCCAAAAATTATGGCATTTGCCTTGCTTTTCCTATCTCAGAACCTCTAACAGATTTAAAATAGAGCCTTATACCTTGGGACCTATTTACTGTGTGTTTCATATGGATTGGTTTTGTCTCCATAAGAATACAGTAAACTCTTTGAAGAGTAGGATGTAGATATCCAGTCCATGCTTCTTTCTTTGAATTAATATCTAATGAACACCTAGCCTGTGCCTGGTACCATTCTTACTGCTTAAGAAACAGCAGTCATCAGATAAGTCTCTGCCCTCATGGAGCTTAAAGTCTAATGAAGAATCAGGAATTAGTTTAAACAAATGAGAAATTACAACTGTGGTAAATACTTTGAAAAATTGTGTATTGTGCTGAGTGTATCTGATAGTGGGCTTTTATCTATTCACAGAAGTCAGTAAATATTTCCCTGAGGACATGGTGATTGAACTAAGATCTGAAGAATGGAAAAGAGTTAATTTGAAGTTACTAGGTCTTGAATGTTATTTCTGTATGTAGACTCTCTGTGCCCTCCCTATTTAAGTTCCCATAAATCATACCCGCCCCCCCCATATGGCCCTTAATTTTCCCTTTGTAACAGTAACAACAATTTAAAATATTATATTTATTTACTCAGTGTATGTTTTTCCTATTAGACTATTGGCGCAAAGCTAGGACTATGTCTCTTTTGATCTCCTTAGGAGTCCCAGTATTCATCATAGGACCTGACATGTAACTCACACAGTAGCTGTTAATGTTTCTACAATCTTTGCCTTTGTCTCATAATAAAGCTGGGATACGTCCCACCTACCTCTCAGTTATTGAAGCAACATAGTGATGTGATGTATACAAAAGTCAGAAATGTAAGACAAGATCCAAAATAGTTTAGTGCCACAGAAACCAAGAAGGGCCAAGTATTTAGGGGTGAATAGAAATAATTCAGGTGTAGGAATGCTGTCTAGGAGAAAAAGAAAAGGCCATTGGATATGGCAATAAGGAAGTTTTCCTTATTTGCACTCATCTTATTTGAAGGAAATTTGTTCAGTTTATGAAACAGATTTAAAAATGGTTTCTGAAGAGAAGTATCTGGTGTTAATTTTAAAAGTTGCTTTTTTTTGTGTGAAGAGTAAAAGGAATGTAAAAATGAATACCTTCTTGAAAAAAGTATCCAAGTGTATGGATAGGATGTGGTCAGATATGCTTTGAAAGAAGGAATAAAGAAAATGGAAGGAAGGATAGAAGGAAGGAAGGAAGAAAAGCTAAATACAGAAAAAAAAGACTGGAAGAAACTGGCAGGACTGTTAAATGGTTATCTTTAAATGATGGGGTTGGGTGATACTTTTCCCCTCTGTACTATTTTGGGTTTTGTGCTCTTCTGTATTTTTCAAGTTTTTTTTTTTAATTTAATGAGTTTATATTACTTTCATAATGAAATATTAAAATAACATCTCATAAAATTGAGTAAAATATAGAATTATGCTTATCTAGTTTGAGGGTTCAGAACTATATTTACAATTTTTCTTTTACTCACCTGGGGTTTGATCCCTGATCAGGGAACTAGATCCCATGTGCTGCAACCAAAGATCCCACATGGTGCAACTAAGACCCGGTGCAGCTAAATAAGTAAATAAATATTAGGAAAACAATTTTTAAATGGCAATTTAATTTTTGTTTGTATGTCCATATGTAATTCTGGAGCTTGAGCTCTCTAAGGGTGGAGATATTTATGTTTCTAGCGTCATCCTGGAAATGACACGTATTTTGTTGAATGAATAACTTTAGAGCTGAGATGCCTCAACCTTTTTACTGCCTTCAATCCATGAACCTTTCTCTTTTCAGAACACAAGCATTAAAATCACGATGAATGGTCATATTTCCAATCATCCCAGTGGTTTTGGAATGAATCCATCTCAAATGAAGTAAGTTGGAAATTTTATATTTAATTTTTTGCTTATTTTAATTTGTTTTGGTAGTTTTTAATTGTTTTATATTTTCAACAAAAAGCTCTATTTCACTTCTTTATGTAGTTCATTCCTCAATATATAACTTCTTGTAACACTAAGATATGTTATTGTTAAAATTTACTGTGTCTCATAAGAAAAAAGATGGTTAAGCAATCAACCCCAATGACAGTGATCTAATTGAAGATGTTTTGTTCTGGTATTTTATGTATTAATGCTTTCCATAGTTGAATATGTACTCTATTTCATAGCTTTCACTTTCTCTGGAGCATTCAGTTTTGTTATTTGTAAAATATTTGCATTTGAGGAAAGTTAAATGTCATCTAGTCCAGTCTCTCAAGATATTTACCATTGTGTAAAATTTAAAAAAGGCCAGTTCCTGTGCCTTTAGATATAATTTGAAATCGGTACCCCAACTTAAGTGGCCATTGCCTTGTATATTGTGGTTAATATTGTTGTTATTTTATATTGGCCATTCTAATTTAGAGTTCACTATCTTTCATAGCTCAGTTATTCACGTTTTTCAGATCTAGCCTGTTCACATTGCTTCACATTTTCTTTTTACAAAGATGATTGCCAATGCCTTTAGTGCTAGTCAGTAAGAGACACCAGGGGAGTATGTCAAGCGTCATCTTTATCTTGTCCATCAGTTTATTCAAGTCAGAAAGTTTTACCACAGCTTCATTTTTTTCCTTTTTCTAATAATAAATATCCATTTAATAATGAATTTATTATAATTTCTTCTATTAAGGAATTCTTATTTCTATCCCAAACTATTCCTTCTCTTCTAACTTTATTTGTGGGCTTTATCTCCTGCGTGAATTTTTACAGTCCCTTTCCATCTGGTTTTGTTCAGTTGCTAAGTCGTGTCTGACTCTTGGCGACCCCATGGACTGCAGCACACCAGGCCTCCCTGTCCTTCACTATCTCTTAGCTGCTGCTGCTGCTAAGTCACTTCAGTCGTGTCCGACTCCGTGTGATCCCATAGATGGCAGCCCACCAGGCTCCCCCGTCCCTGGGATTCTCCAGGCAGGAACATTAGAGTGGGTTGCCATTTCCTTCTCCAATGTGTGAAAGTGAAAAGTGAAAGTGAAGTTGCTCAGTCGTGTCCGACTCTTAGTGACCCCATGGACCGTGGCCTACCAGGCTCCTCCATCCATGGGATTTTCCAGGCAAGAGTCCTGGAGTGGGGTGCCACTGCCTTCTCTGCTCTCTCCCAGAATATGCTCAAATCCATATCCATTGAGTCAGTGATGCCATCCAACCATCTCATCCTCTGCCACCCTCTTCTCCTTTTGCCTTCAGTCTTTCTATCAGGTTACCTTGCCATTAACTCCTGGATTATCTTTCTTAAAAAGTAGTTTGGATCATGTTACTTCCCTGTATAAAGAGAACAGAAATTTAATTCTTAAGCTCTCTGTTTGCCTTCCCTGCTTCTTGAGCCATTCATCTCTGCCAAGCACATCCCATTAGATGCTTATTCCTTCAGCAGCCATCCTGGTTCTTGAGCCAGATCTACATGCTTTTCCTCACTTAATTCTCACCTGCTTCTGGAGCTTCCTTCCATTCTTTTAGATTATGCTTAAATGCCAGTCAAGTCTTCTTGAGCATCCTTATAGAAACTTAGTCCTTTTTTGATGTTTTATCTATTAGTTTTACCCAGATATCACATTCTATTGTAACCATTTTACTTGTTGTATTAACAATACACTCCCTACCCCGCTACCCCCGCCTTTGTTGTTGTTTAGTTGCTAAGTCCTGTCTGACTCTTTTGTGACCCCATGGACTGTAACCCACCAGGATCTTCTGTCCATGGGATTCTCCAGGATTCTCTAGAGTGGGTTGCCATTTCCTTCTCTAAAGGATCTTCCCAACACAGGGATTGAACCTGTATCTTCTGTATTGGCAGGCAGATTCTTTACCACTGAACCACCAGGGAAGCCACCCACCTTACTCCTCATTTTTCTAGATTTTCAGTTCAGTTCAGTTCAGTCGCTCATTTGTGTCTGACTCTTTGCGACCCCGTGGACTGCAACATGCCAGGCCTCCCTGACCATCACCAACTCCTGGAGTTTACTCACACTCATGTCCACTGAGTTGGTGATGCCATCCAACCATCTCATCCTCTGGCATCCCCTTCTCTTGCCTTCAATCTTTCCCAGCATCAGGGTCTTTTCAAATGAGTCAGTTCTTTGCATCAGGTGGCCAAAGTATGGGAGTTTCAGCTTCAGCATCAGTCCTGCCAGTGAATATTCAGGACTGATTTCCTTTAGGATTGACTGGTTGGATCTCCTTGCTGTCCAAGAGACTCTCAAGAGTCTTCTTCAACACCACAGTTCAGAAACATCAGTTCTTAAATGCTCAGCTTCCTAAGTCCAACTCTCACATCCATACGTGACCACTGGAACCATAGCTTTGACTAGACAGACCTTTAGGTTGGTCATAACTTTTCTTCCAAGGAGCAAGCATCTTTTAATTTCATGGCTGCAGTCATCATCTGCAGTGATTTTGGAGCCTGAAAAAATAAAGTCTGACACTGTTTCCCCATCTATTTGCCATGAAGTGATGGGACCAGATGCCATGATCTTAGTTTTCTGCATGTTGAGTTTCTAGATTTTAGGGCTTAATAAATGTTTACTGAGTAAATTTTAAAAATTTAAATAATGTTTACTTCACATAACAGTAAATTAGAAGTAGGGTATAGCTAGTCAAATTTAATGATAAAGTGTTATTTTTGTTAACTTCTCTTTAAGTATTTGTCAAAACAATAGTGTCTATTTTGCTATAGTTTGAATGACTGAGAACTTTTTATAATTGGATCACTGCTCAAAACTCAATTTAGTATGGTAAACTTAAATTTTTCTAAGCTAGCTTCAACCTTTTTGAATCTCCATGGCTGGTTTTTTTTTTTTTGAGTCTTTATTGAGTTTGTTACAATATTGCTTCTGTTTTCATGTTTTGGTCTTTTGTTGTTGTTGTTCACAAGGCATGTGGGCTCTTAGCTCATCTACCAGGGATCAAACCTGTACCCTCTGCATTGGAATGCAAAGTCTTAACCACTGGACCACCAGGGAAGTCCCTTGGCTGTGGTTCTGACTTGGCATTTGAGAGAATCTATATTGGATCAGGATCCAATAGCCTGTTTCTGGACAGAACCAGCTGTATAAACTCTATATATTTTTCTAAAAACATATGGTGATTGTGGTACACTGGAATTTGTATTTGTAGTTTTGACTTTTTATTGCTTCGTTTGGACTTTAAGTCATCACACTGACCTTTTTTTATTTTTTATTTTTTTATTACAGTGGCTACGGATCATCAGCCACCTTTTCCATGGACAGAGATCACAGCTCACGAACAAGTGCAAAGGCTCTCTATGGTATGTTCGTATATTTAAGGGGGTATAAATATGTTTTTGACTACCTTTGCAAATGACATGTTCAAAGCCACAGTTTGAACCTATGGCTTGTTTATATTATTGGGAATGAAACAGAGATAAATGCATAAGGATTATTCTAAAAATAATTTTGATGAAGCTACCAAAGCCATAATCTCTGCTGGCTGTCATGCAGTTTAGAACTACAGATGAAATGTATTCAGTGCTTTCTATGGAGACCTAAGTACCTTAGGTAGATTTCCCCATCTAATGATGCGTGATGTGTTTGTTGATCTTCATGACTGATCCTGTTGATCATGGGCTGACAGTGGGACTACTTCCTTACAGCTCTTGAACTTTTTGGGTAGTATTACAGTTTGACCAATAGCCCTTATGGAATTTCTTAGTGATCTTTCTCTAACTTCCATTGTCTTCCTTCTGTTGTCTCAGCTATAAATACTGGGTTTTTTTTAAAACTTCAAATATAAAACAGAATTCAATACTACAAAGAAGTTGAGGACTCCTGAAACATATCACATGTGTTTAGGAAGACATTTGCTTTTATGGGATCTATGTGGCCTTTTGTTACTGTATACCCATAAAGAATGAGACTAGTATTAGAGTTAAGAGCAAAGACTCTGGAGCCCGCCTTCCTGGTTGAAGTCCAATTCTGCCATTTATTAGTTGAGTGATCCTGAACAAATTACTTTACCTATGTGTCCCTCATTTTGCTTATCTGTATAATGGGAATATCTCTTAGGCTTGATATAAGAATTTAATGAGCTACTATGTGTGAAATGCTTAGTACAGTGCCTGGCAAGCAGAAAACACTGTGTATATTTGCTATCATTTGTTATCAACTGTAGGAACCAATAGCATTTTCTCAAGTTGAAATTCTTTTCTTTTTACGTCATTGAGAGCTACAAAATTTTGGCTGTGGTAAAAATGACTCATTCTAAGGTTTTGTGCTTCTTTCTCTTCCTGTATATCCAGTGACTAGACTTTAGGACTCAAATGACACATTCATAAAATGGATTTTATACCATATACATTTTCCTATGACCTTGTCAATCTGATTAGCTTTGGTTTCATTTCTCTTGAGTACGATATTGTGACATTCTTACCATGCCATAGTCATTATGAGTTGTAGATCTAGAGAATATATTCAACAAATATTTATTTTGTGATTAATACGTGCCCAGAACAGGGCCAGTAATATATGTGCCCCAAATAGGGCCAGTAATAAGGTCCCTTGACTTTATAAGACTTACACTCTAGAGCATGACTTGAAGAAGCTGAAAAGGGAAAAACTTTTCTTTTTTGCAAAAATAATTCCTTCAGTCTTTCATTTCAAGACAGATACTTATTTGTTTCTGTGTGCCTGACTGTGATCTTCACAGTCTCTGTTTACATGTCATTTGATTCATTTCAAAGATGAATAAGAGATGGTCACTTGTTGGGCACTGTTTTGGTGAGGTAGGCCTGTGCATGCAATGTTATAAAGTGCTTTAAATAAGCTTGGATGGCAATGAGGTGCAGATGGTGGTATGGTGGAGTCAACTCTTCTGTGTGAGTGGGGTGAGCAGGAGGAATTTCATAGAGAGGTTAAACTCTGAAATTCTCCAGGCATTTGTGGGGCTAGAGGGTGCCTTACCCACTCCAGTACTCTTGCCTGGAAAATCCCATGGAGAGCAGGGCCTGGTGGGCTGCCGTCTATGGGGTCGCACAGAGTCGGACAAGACTGAAGCGACTTAGCAGCAGCAGCGGCGGCAGGGTGCCTTAAACAGTTGTATTAAGCCTTCTAAAACTAGACCCTAAGCTCCATGAATGTGGGCCACATTTGCCTTCTTAGCATCAGGATTCCCTAAGTTTAGCTCAGTGGCTAATGTGTAACTTATGCTCAGTTAATACCTGTAGAATAAATAGTAGTGCATCAATGAGTTGTAAACAGTTGAGTACTAACTGGAGGGTTCAAGGTGGAACATCGGGAAATAAGATCAGAAAATCAAACATAGACCACATTAGAAAAAAGTAATGCACTGGCATCTGAACACTGTTTAAAAGGAATGACCGGTTAGTGAAGTGCTTTAATGGAGATGGGGGTTGGCGGGGGGGAGAGTAATAGGTCCTATTTGTCTTGGATCACTCTGGTAGCAGGTGAAGATGGATTTGATGTATATGGATGGCAATAGATGAATCAGAGACCTAAATAATGTAGATAAGTCAGATATCTAAATAATAACCCAAAGATTTTTGTTAAGGAGAAAGAGTATTAAGCTTTTCACAAATACTATACATTCAAAGGTCTATTTTCATGGCTGATTCATGTCAATATATGGCAAAAACCACTACAATATTGTAAAGTAATTAGCCTCCAACTAATAAAAATGAATGAGAAAAAAAAGGTCTATTTTCAGAGAGCTAAGACAGGAAAATCACTGCAGATGGTGACTGCAGCCATGAAATTAAAAGACGCTTACTACTTGGAAGGAAAGTTATGACCAACCTAGACAGCATACTAAAAAGCAGAGACATTACTTTGTCAACAAAGGTCCGTCTAGTCAGGGCTATGGTTTTTCCAGTAGTCATGTATGGATGTGAGTGTTGAACTATAAAGAAAGCTGAGCACCGCAGAATTGATGCTTTTGAATTGTGGTGTTGGAGAAGACTCTTGAGAGTCCCTTGAACTGTAAGGAGATCCAACCAGTCCATCCTAAAGATCGGTCCTGGGTGTTCATTGAAGGATTGATGCTGAAGCTAAAACTCCAATACTTTGGCCACCTGATGTGAAGAGCTGACTCATTTGAAAAGACCCTGATGATGGGAAAGATTGAGGGCAGGAGGAGAAGGGGAAGACAGAGGATGAGATGGCTGGATGGCATCACCGACTCAATGGACATGGGTTTGGGTGGACTCCGGGGGATTGGTGATAGACAGGGAGGCCTGGTGTGCTATGGTTCATGGGGTCGCAAAGAGTCGGGCACAACTGAGTAACTAAACTGAACCATCCTTCTAGATTGTGTATTTATGTGCTAGAATACGATATTTATCTTTCACTTTCTGACTCACTTCACTCTGTATAATAGGTTCTAGGTTCATCCACCTCATCAGAACTGACTCAAATGTATTCCTTTTTATGGCTGAGTAATATTCCATTGTGTATATATACCACAAGTTCTTTATCCATTCATCTGTCGATGGATATCTAGCTTGCTTCCATGTTCTAGCTATTGTAAATAGTGCTGCACTGAACAATGGGATACATATGTCTTTGTCAATTTTGGTTTCCTCAGGGTAAATGCCTAGGAGTGGGATTTCTGGGTCAAATGGTGATTTTATCCCTAGTTTTTTAAGGAATCTCCATACCATCTTCCATAATGACTGTATCAGTTTACATTCCCACCAACAGTGCAGGAGTGTTCCTTTTTCTCCACACCCTCTCCAGCATTTATTGTTTGTAGACTTTTTGATGATGGCCATTCTGACTGGTGTGAGGTGGTAACTCATTGTAGTTTTGATTTGCATTTCTCTAATAATGAGCAAAATTGAACATCTTTTCATCTGTTTGTTAGCCATCTGTATGCCTTCTTTGGAGAAATATCTGTTTAGATCTTATTCCCACTTTTTGATTGGGCTGTTTGTTTTTCTGGCATTGACTTGTATGAGTTGCTTGTATATTTTGGAAATTAATCCTTTATCAGTTGTTTCATTTGCTATTATTTTCTCCCATTCTGAGGATTGTCTTGCTTATAGTTTCCTTTGCTGTGCAAAAGCTTTTAAGTTTAATCAGGTCCCACTTGTTTACTTCTGTTCTTGTTTCCGTTACTCTAGGAGGTGGGTCATAGAGGATCTTGGTTTGATTTATGTCATCAAGTGTTCTACCTGTGTTTTCCTCTTAAGATTTTTATAGTTTCTGGTCTTATATTTAGGCTTTTAAGCCAGTTTGAATTTATCTTTATGTTTGGTGTTAGGAAGTGTTCTAATTTCATTCTTTTACATATTGCTGTCCAGTTTTCCCAGCACCATTTATTGAGGAGGCTGTCTTTGCCCCACTGTGTATTCTTGCCTCCCTTGTCAAAAATAAGGACCCATAGGTAAATGGGTTTATTTCTGGACTTTCTATCTTGTTCCATTGGTCTATATTTCTGTTTTTATACCGGTACCATACTGTCATGATGACTAGCTTTGTAGTGTAATCTGATGTCAAGAGGGTTGATTCCTTCAGCTTTGTTCTTCTTTCTCAAGACTGCTTTGGCTATTCGGGCTCTTTTGTGTTTCCGTATGAATTGTGAAATATTTTGCTCTAGTCCTGTGAGAAATGACATTGATAATTTGATAGGGATCATATTGAATCTGTAGATTGCATTTGGTAATATAGTCATCTTCACAATATTGAGTCTTCCTACCCAGGAATTGAATCTTTAGCTTTTAAGTAGTAAAGTTTTATTCCCCCCTTTTTACATTTAAAGCCAACTGGGGCTCCTTCCTAAGGTGAGGTAATTTGTCAAAGTACCATAAATTTTAAAATCTTGACTGTAAGAAAAAGTAACAGTTACTTTGGGGTAGTGTGACAAAAATGAGCAGCAAATAGGTAAACAGAGAACATAACTAGAATGATGGAAACAGGCAGATGCTAGAGGCATTTATCAGCAAGAAAGAAGACTCGGCAGTGTGTTAGGCTTAGATGTCAGAGGGTTTTAAATTCCTTGAAGTTGCAGGTAACATTTCACTCCTCCTTGTAGCTAATACTCACCTTTCCCTCTCAGCACACTGTCCACAAAGACACACATGTACATTATGCCTTCTCTCTGACAGGTTCCCAGTCAATGGGATGAATGGTTACATGGATGAATGACAGCGTAGAAACACATCCAGGTTTTGAACAAACCTTTTCTAGTTTATTCAGCTGGAATAAAATTCCAGTTGAAGCTCTAACTATAATTAGTTAATTTTAGGACTGTTTAGCCTCCCAAACTGCATAGTTTTAACTTTTCTTTTGTAAT